ATTTTTCTTTTTTCCATTGCGTAATAAGACCCCTGAAGAACCGCCATATTGGTACAAATGACCCACTATTTTGTGTCACTATCTCCCGGGCTATATAGTGTGGCATGGACAGTATACCAACGTTTTAAGTTCTTTGTGATCATCAAATTCAGGATACCATTGGTGCACCCGTTTCCGACGATGGCATTAAATATAAAAAAATGAAAGTGCAGAAATAAAATGTGTTTAATTAGGAGCGATATTAGTTCTGTGATAGTTACTTGGTAACACCAAGCATACTTATCACATACTTATGTGTAGGTATATTGTTAGCGCCAATAAATAATGTTCAGCATTGTTTTAATTTATAATTTATTCTTAATTATATAAATAATCTTATTTAATCCAAGTGCTGTGTTCCAAAGATTATACTTAATTTAGTAAGAAATCTTATCAAGCGTACGTAAGTAGCGAAGAAGGGAGATTTCACTGAACAACGAGGCTAACTAACGGGCCCAGATTATGTTCCCGGCCCTTTATCTATCGCTAAGCGATCTTGACTTTGAATATTCATACGCTAAAAATCTATAACAATAACGGAATAAATTTCATGCATTATTAGCAGAAAATGAGAGCAAATTAATTACGAACTAGAGTCATATTATTATTATTTATATGTAAAATTATATATTTATGGATATGGTAAAAGTGTATTTAAAAACAACGCTCCATGGTGGTATTTGGAACATAACGGAAGCACAAGTTGGTAAATTAATTGTAAAGTCGACCAGACACGAGATATTTGAATCCTACTAATATTATAAACGCGAAAGTTTGTAAGTATGGATGAATGTTTGTTACTCTGTCACGTCAAAACTACTTAATGGATTTTAATTAAACTTTACAATAATATAGCATCAGAATAACACATAGGCTACAATTTATAAAGATATTGTGTAAATTGTCCAAAATGTCAAGTAAGTAGGATAAAATCTACCATCTGCACACACACACATATGTATTGTATGATGGAAATTTATGTTAAAAGCCCGTGACAGTTTATATCTAGTCTTATGTGGATAAAATAGTGAACCATAACTACAATAAAAAATGATAATTTATTGGAAATGCACATTTGGTAGTAATAAATTGATTCCTAAATGAAAATAGATACTTTTATCGCTTCTGGTATTTAAAGTAGATAAAATATGTCTTTCACGCTACATCATTTGACAAATATTATTTTAATCGAAGAAGAAGTCGCGGGCACCAGCTCGTCGTATAAAAAATTCAAAGCTATATTCAAAACTTTTACTAAAATGTATATGTACAAAGAGCCAACGATCGTTTAGCCGGTCTTCGAAGCGATATCTAATCCTAAGTCTACGAAGAAGGTAATGATTGTTTTGTTGTTTTAGTGTCAATATGGGAAGTATATTTTGTACAACCAAGGAATACACGAAGAAAGAAGAAAATCTCCGTTTTATATAATATCAATTTCAGTCGCGTCACAATATTGATATAGTACCTTCCTACAAGTAAGTACGCAAAATAAACTAAAACGAACCACGAACTTTAGGGCAACTTTTTTTAAATTTAATAGGAGTCAAACGGGCAGAAGGCTCACCTGATGTTAAGTGATACCGCCGCCCATGGACACTCACATTGCCAGAAGGCTCTCTAGTGTGCTGCTGGCCTTTTAAGAATTGGTACGCTCTTTTCTTGAAGGACCCTAAGTCGAATTAGTTCGGAATTACTTCAGTGGGCACTTGGTTCGACATAGTGGTGGTGCGCGTCAAAAACTGGCTAACATATATCTTTGCTAATATTAATAATAAAACGTTTTATTTTAAGTTGAGCAAGAACAGGAGAGTTTATTTATCAGCTCGTATTATAAGTGTGGTTGCTTGCTAAAGCTAGGGTTATACTACAGCCACGCCGCGTGTCGCAACGCTGCCTGACGCACGGGCTGGTGATTATACTACAGTGTCGTGTCGCCGCGCGTGCTGATTCATTTTTGTGTCAGTTCAGTGGTGACCGCGTAAACGTCCGCCTCTATTTACAATGTTCTCTTCCGACTCAGATACGGATCGTGAAGAAGATATTGCCTGCCTATTTATGTTAAGCCAACTCAAGAAATAAAACATACAATTTACCTGGTAGTTTCAATTGTTGGCCTATTTCTTCCCACGCTGCTGTTCTTATCAAATGGTCTTTATAATCTTTATTTTTAGGATCATATAAAAATTTATACTCTCTCACTAGCTCAATAAGTTCGTCAGCGGACATCTTGCGCGCGCTCTAAAATGTGGTAGAAGTCTGCTTGCTTGCTCGTCAACACGCCGGAATGCACAAATGCGCGTAGCCACGTGGCGATTATACTAGCCCAGAGCGAGCCAACGGAACACTTCCCCTACTACCGAGCCCACGCCGATCGAAATCGAGCGATCTGCGTGGCGTCAGCTCACTCGGCGACACGCGGGGCTGGGTTAATGTAACCACCTTCATACTAAATGTATGTAACCGATCGCAATCCCACGCGTTGCGACACGCGGCGTGGCTCTAGTATAACCCTGGCTTTAGTCTCACTAAGGTAGTTTTACTTAATGTCATTTATAAAATAATGTAAAGCAATGTGATATTGTAAATTAGTAATATTATTGTATTACCTATTCAAAATTATATTGTAGAATATCTAAAGCTCAAGCAATTATCTTAAATGAGTACAGGTTCATATTGCTTGTATTTTATGTGATGGCTTCAACCGAGTGGAGATGATAACAGCAGAAGTGCAGCTGGCGCCACGATGCAATTTAAATCGCACTGAAATACCACTCATAGATAAATCACAATACTTAAAAGGTCAATGACCTACCAAATAATCTTCATTAAAGATACAATTGAAATAGCGTTTATTGGAAATGTGTGACGTTTAACAAGGTGTAGCTCCCGGCCGGTGCAGTTATTTGGCGAAAGTCTAGCTACATACACTGTTATACAACATATTTGGGGTATACGTGTAATATGCATATTATCGTAACGGTACAAGGAGAATGTAATAAACTAAAAACTATACTAAACTATTTTCTCAAACAAACAAATTGAGATAAAATTGGTCGATAAATTTAACAGCATTGCAAATTCATTATCATTATCACATAACTTATTAATTCATATTGGGTTTTTACAAATCACAACTTCTATATTCGTAAGACTTGAGATAAATACGCGCGCAAAAAGGATCTGCGCGTGCACAGATTACATAATAAATTTCGGTCACAGCGACAAATCGACGGAGAGTTTAATAGGTAAGTAGGGCAGGGCAAGCAATTATCCTACCGCGCTAATTATTATATTACCGCGCGGAGTCTTCTAGCTACTACGAGCATAAGGATATTTCCCTTCCTTTCGCACAAAGCGTAACACAATACGGCAACGTCTCTTGTGAAAATTGACAATGGGAACTATCCATTGTATTTTTACTACATGTTGTTTGTTGTAAAAACGATATAAACATTATTGTGACCAAACGGCTTAACAGATTTAATTCAAATTTTGAAAAACGTTTAAGATCGTTGAGCCCTAAAAAACTATCATGACAAGGGGATTAACTACGCTACATATTGTATATTGTACTAATAATAATTATGCAAATGTATTATGAACCCGCCCAAGCTAATCTCAGCAACTACTGGTAGATACATTATTTTTGTGTTGGAAAGTCCAATTAACAATCCATTAAGACGATAAAAGCATTATTCGTATTAAATTATACAAATACTTGTTTAGTATTTTAGTTAGTGTTACCACGCTTTGATCATGACACTAGAATACGTAATCATACAAAATTATCACCATATCTCAATGCAAACTAAGATTTTACATCCTCACGCGTGTGGACAAACATATTCACGAAAGGATTTGAAATTAACAAATATTTAAAGTATTTATTGCAACATTTATTTTTTAGATAAAGGTTTGTGATTACATATTCGTTTTTAACAATAGTTTTTAATATAGCACCTTACTTGGCGTTGTTATTATAATACAGTTATAGTATATAAATTTAACTGCTTATTTATAAAAACAAAATTAGTCTAGCTTCGTCTTTTTCTGGAAAAATTGTGTTTACGCTGTGATGACCAGCGAATGATGAGTAAAAAATTTATAAGGTATAGTTAAAAATGTATAGTTTATGTGTCTATACTTCTTTCGTATATAGGATCTCCAAGTACAGAAAGAAGTATTTGGCTGGTATAAAACAGAATCGCGTTAAGAAAATTATATCTGAATCAGATACTGAATATGCTGTAACTTCATGACAATATCAGTTTCGCTTAATTTACTGTAACAACTGCAAATGGATTATTCTTCTTTTTATATGATTAAGCAGCAACCGCAGATCATGGACACATGTTAGTGCTCATTCGTTCGTTATCTTTAATTAAAAAGGGAATCATAAGCAACATTTTGGTTTAATAATTTTTCCTTTTTTTATGATTTCTGCACTCATGCCTTCCGCATATGATATTTGAATAAACCAAAAATAAAACAAGTTATTGTAAAAAAATAATTTTCTTTTAATTATCATCAAGATACCCTGCTAAAACATGCATACAAGTCTTATCATGTGTCGAATATTATCTTATGCACATAAATTATCAAATATTACGCTACTTACAAGAATTAGATACTGATAACAAGAGAATTATAACAAACAGTTTTGAAGGTTTTACGCAATATGTACTTGGAAAACTACATGAACATCCGCATTTTACAATTAATAATCTCTACGAGTCTATCCATCCTCTACGAGTTTCTTACTTTCTCGTCTCTCTCACTCTTCGAGCTGGTGGTAACTCAAAAAAAAATATTTTTATTTTGCTTTACACTAATTTATATTTCTTTACTGTGTTATTTTTACGTTCAGTAACACACGTAGGAAGTACAAAAAATGATAAAGCTTTAAGGGAGCATAGACAAATTAAAGTTAGCACAACTTCTATTCTGAAATACTTGATTTATTTGGTAGATGTAACGTCCGACACGTTAGAGCCCTGAAAGAATACAGGTGAGTCTGGATTAAACTGCGTGGAATTTAGATAAGACCTATCCGTCATTTTAAACAAATTCTGGAGTAAATGCTGCTGTTCCATCAGCAGTGTATTCAAGTGTCTCATCTCTTGATCAATTTTCTTTAGATTGAATGTCGTTTGATCGATTTTCTCTTGCATTCCACGTATTTCTATATTAAACTGATGGTCCGTTTGCCCGTCTTGTTTATATTTAGAGTGGTACTTGTTCTTATACAAAACTTCTTTTACTGAACGTCCTGATTTGAGTTTATTCAGTTGTGCTAGTTCGTAAGCTGCCATCATGATATCAGTCGGCAATCGTTTTTCGCGAGGATTCAATGGCTTTACACTTAAAATTACTTTTCCTGCTTCTGGAGAAACTAATGCTGTTCTGTAAATGTATTTATGGAGACATGCGGGTAGTAATGAACTAAACATTCCCATCTCAACAAATAATATAAGTTTAGTTTGTCTCACTAGTTTTGAGAGCCCTGCTGTTTTTCGTAATCCTTGAATATCGTGAACTGCAATACCAACTAATAGATTCATAAGTATTATAGTCACAAACATAAGAAATAAAATGAAAATAAACTGAGATGACAGTTCGAAAATTAGAGGTGGATCTTCTAAGAAGGGATCGTTTATCAAAATGTTCAAGTTAAGTTCACCAACCATCATTGACAGTGTACTGATAAAACCCATTAAAGGGTTTGAAAACATTTCTTCGTTGGGAAACACAACTAAGAAACATATAGCAAATCCCAACAACAGACAAATGTACGCTAATAATAGCTTTAAGAATTCTGTCAAAACTTTTTGATACATAGCCACATAGTCGCCGAACATAGGTAGTTGACCCATCATCAACATCAAATTTGTCCAAGCTCCTAAAACAGCATAGCCTTCTACGTGATTTTGCCAGCCGTAATCATGTTCTATATCGTACAGCAAGAATACGGAAAGTAAAACGAACCATTCTAATAGATTTTCGAATGTTGTAAAATATTGATAAATACTAGAATAGCCGGTGATGCCTGTTAATTTCCTGACTATTTCAAAAATAGTTATTGCTAACAAAACCCATCTCTCTAATTCTATGGGATTATCTTCTAAAATATCTCCAAGTAAAGATTGTCTTTGGCATAATTCGTTAGGCACATCGTACTTCTTGGCATATTTACCGTGACAGGTCTTTACAACGGCCGTCAACACGTAGATTGACAGGAACACAACAAAGAGGAAACTAAATATTAGCCTAGCTAAATAGAATTTTCTTATCTTTTTCCACTTCATGAATAGAAATGCTAAACATAACGGGTGTTGTAAAATATCTTTTTGTCCTTCATCAATCAAACTATTTAAATAAGTAATTTCACGCGGATACGAATATTTTAACAGCTTCCCAAAATCGAATTCAATCTGAACTTCTTCATTAGCTTCAGTTGACGTACTAAGGGTGATGCCACTATCAAGATTGTGTCTTAAAATTGCTACAGATTTTGGTGTTTTACGTACTATAACACTAAGTGCTGTATGACCTTTTTTTGATTTGGATGTGACGTCGGCTCCTAATATTATTAATGTTTCCACACAACTTGTTAATCCCTCAATTGCGGCTAGATGTATTGGTGAATATCCATATTCATCTTTTATATTTACTTGTGCACCCCAACTTACTAGCAGTTCTATTATATCACACGAACGTTCAGATTTCGATATAGCAGCGTGTAATGGAGTTCGTTTATCGTAATCTTCAGCGTTTGGATCTGCGTTTCCATCTCTTAAAAGAACTTCAACACATTCCATTGATGAACACCTTGCAGCGAGATGTGAAGCAGTAAACCCTCTGTAATTTTTTGCATTAGCTTTAGCTCCTTCTGAGAGTAAAAGTTCAACACATTCCGTGTAACCTCTTGATGCTGATAGATGTAATGCTGTACATTCTTTATCCCTTTGCTTAGTGACACCATTAACACTTAATTTCGTTGCTTTCAATAGAAATGCAAGACACCTTTGAGATCCCAATTCAGCAGCTAAATGTAAAGCATTTAGTCCCCCAGAAGTTATATATCCTGGGTCAACTCCTTTCTCTATAAATAGTTCCATACACTCTAAAGCATCATTTCGAACAGCACAGTGGACCAGGTTATCCTCACAACCAGCTCGTTGAACTACAGCATGTAAAGACGCTCCGTTCGCGATTAAGTATTCTGCTACTTCCAATGAGTTTCCAAATGCAGCACAATGTAGAGGTGCAAAGTATTTAGGGGCATAATCAATATCGGTACCGATGGACAGTAAATACGCAACAGCTCGCCCGGCGCCACTAAAAGCGGCGATATGTAGCGCTGTCAAACCAATTGGATCCGAATAATGAACATCAGCACCAGCTTCAATAATAGTAGGTAATAACTCTTCACGTGTTAAAAATGCGGCCCATAATAACGTTAAATTAACAACAATTTCCGGCGCTGATGAAATATGTTCTTCAATATTATCTGCTGTAATCAATCCACACTCGAGGTCATCAAAAAATCTCCCTGCTCCAAGAGATAAAGCTTTTTCGCATAACGCTCGACGCACTGAATCCTCCGTCAACCTGGCTTCTGGATCTGGAGCCTGCATATCAAAGCTATGGTACATATTCGGAGCATCTTCAGCTGGTGGTGAGGGTCCAACGAATAAGTATTCTTTTGCCTTTCCTGGTTCGTTGGCTGCCTCGAGTGTATCAATGCTACGCACATGTCTGAAGGAGCTTCTAAGTGGAAATTCTTCTGGATCTCTGTTTCGCGAGCTGAAACTGTTTGTTAGTCTTGATCGCGGCGTCTGAGACGGCGTCTGGAGGGGTGACGGCCACCCCATCTCACGATAACCGAAGTTGTCCATGGCTATACCGCAACTAAATGCAGACTCCCTCTTATCTTATCACTACAAACATCTTTACTCTGACGTGATTTATCACGCTATTTTTACTGCGCACAATTATGAAATTTACTATTTGGGCACTGATTATTGTTGTTTTCATAATAATGCAATATGCGAGCCATATTTATATTTAATTTAAAAATAAAATTACCATATTCATGTGACGCCACAGGTTCGCAACATTGACTTTAGATCTGTTTCATTTTGTTGATTGTAAACAACGTAACGTGTGATTTTCACGCCCGAAAATAAAACTAGCAAATATTTTACTCATAATTCTGGTAATAATTTTGTTTGCAAAAAGGATATACTTTTTACTGTATCAACAAAATAATTACTAGATTTGCCAAAACCATTTCAGCAGGCGTACCAATTGTCTTACTGTATTAGTGTAATCTCTTATGAGTTTCAAACAAAATAGAGTTACCCATTAAATAGTTATACATATATAGACAATAATTTCTTGACGGTACATCAACCTACATATACAAACACAAATATTTGCAGCATGATCCCTTTGTCAGACTGTCAGTTTGTTTGTAGTGATGTATGTTACACGGTCATGTTTAATTAAAATTCAAGAAAAGTTTGTTACGATTATTTTAAAACATTAACCCTGACCAAACGTTCTACTAGCTTTAACAATACAGTACCTACTACTATAAAACCATTTTTTACTTAAGTAATGCATTCTTTGTAAAGGTTTTATAAATATTCTATTAAGTCTTATCCAAATACTAAACAAAACATTTAATTTTTCATTGAATATAAAAGAGCACTCTATGAAACATAGTTTAAGGCATCGAATTATCGCGAGTAATAAGAATAATAAATGAATAAGACAGTTGGTGTTTTGCCAACGTATTACTGCATCAAACGGCTTGGCTGCTTTTATATGAAATGTTGCAGAAATCCATTACACGGATAATTAGAATCGTTATGAGCCATATTACTCGAAAATACATTTATTACTAAGTTGTATTTTTATATGTGTACTTCCTACTTCTTAAACTTATATTAACAGTAACAATTATGATGACAAAATAATGGAAAATACAAAAGAACATGTTTTGTTTCATAAAGACGATCGGGTGAAAAATAACTGAGAATTTATAAAAAGCTGTGTGTCTGTATCTTATAATTAACATTAAGTTTTACTGAGACAAAATAAGAGAACTTACTGCTAAGAAGATACATATTCCTCCCTTCCTCTCTTCCTATAGTTCCCCTCGGAAAAAAAATATCTCGCATTCAGCACCTTCGTGTAGGAGTGGGAATTTTTCAATTACTTGGAGGTGACTGTTACTGTAACAAGCTTTATTATGAATTCGCCTATTTTATTGATGTTTTTTTACGTATAAATAGTTGGGAGCACTTTAGTTTTACGACACAAACACATAAAACTTCTACTTATACCCGGTGATTCTGGTTCCGCTTGAATTAAAACCTACTTTTTAAGCTCTTCATAAGGATTCAGTTAAGTGTTTAATGCTACAAGCATTATATTCGTCGCTTATTTCGTTAATAATATTTGGCCTTCGTCAGACCCACTTCTTACAGTAACCACGTGTGTTTTTTACTGTAGTGTTATGCACTATTTTAATCACAATGGTTACGTCTAAACTTAAGTTTTGTTATATAAAAAGTGGAAATGACTATGTGGACATTATTAATACAATAAAAATTGCATTGTACCTCAAAGGAATAAGAAGGAATTGAATTCTTGATCTTTCCACAATGATCGATGAAAATAACTTCAATGCACAGGACCTTGTCTTTGATGGAGTTTTGGACGAAATGCAGCCGACCTCTTTAGACATCTGTTAACAAATTATAAACTGACTGTTGAAGCATAAACTAAATATTTATTGGATTTATAACTGTACCAAATATATACATGCTTAGTAAAATTGGGATATTCTTTGTTAAATGCGTGTAAATATAACGACGAAGATCTAGCGTACTACTTGCTAGGTTGTCTACACCAGGTTTTTGACAAAGGTCACTGTTTCTTCTATGTGGTAAAAGATGGTAACAGTTGCAGTATTATCCCCTGGTTTGATAATAATTGTGGATTGAACATCATAGTTCTGGCTATAAATATATCAGTGAATTAAAGAATGAATGTGTCTGCCCCAATACACGTTAGCGAGACTAAACTTTTCCTTGTTTTAGTACGAAAATTAAGAAAAACAACCGAGTCGCCGAATTGTTGTTCTCAGTATGTTTTAGTTAGCAGGAAATTTTTGGGTCAGTTTCTACGAATTACAATTCTTATAATCTTATAACTCTGATGATAATTTTTGAAGTTTGAAGCTTTGAATGGAGCGATGAACTTTAATGCAAACAAATTCTTAAATAAATAATGTAAAATTCAATTACATATTTTTTTATTATTCCTCTGAGATTTCGATTTATGTGCATTGCTTACTTTTACTACATTATCTTCTTATTTATGTTTAGCCAACATTACGAGAAAAAACAATAGTACAATAATATATATTATTTATTTATTGGTTTCAGAAAGGAAACAGTATAGTTAGTGTAAACACATTCTTTTAAACGTAAACTAGTGGGTATTCACCTTATACAATTATCGTTTATTTTCCATAGCAAAGAAACAAGTGCATGGATTTCTCGGCTATTTCTGGAATGGGATAATTCTTGTTATTTCGACATCTCATCTTTCTCTACATCAATTATTATTTGACGGCATAGTGTACTTTCACATTTATTATAAAAAATTGCTGATATATTGTAGAGAGTATTGTACTCGAAGTCGTTCGAGAAGTCAAGTTGTTCGATATCTGAGGAAAATTGTCAACGTGTGTCTCAGATATCTGAGTTTCTGGCCACAGATGCATGTATAAATGTAGTAGAACAAGATAGTAATGCGAAATAAAGCATTCAAACCTATATAAAATTAGTATTGGATTTTTCAAGTGAAACCTTATTAAAGGACATAAACTACAAAACGAGACATGCCTTTTTAAGTTAAAAAATTCTTATTGAAAAGCTACATAAAAGGAAGCTGCCGCTTAGGTACGTTGACCTGTATGCAAATAATAAACAGCATTTTATGTACGTCGGTGTTGGTAAAAAGAACAATCGACTGTAAATCGGTTTCCAATCAAGGACGTACATACGTTGTTCGGAAATAAATTTTAACTCTAGTATGAGGTTTGGGCACACTAGGCACTCAAAGGTGGAAAATTCATAAAAGCGTGTGGTAGTTAATCAGAATACCTGATTACTAGACAAAACAGATTTAGTCTTAGATTGTATTACTTGGTGCCGTCTATTAAGAAATTATCCGTAATTTACTGTCCATTACCAGTAATTTACTTTACCAGATTAAAATCTACTCTTTTGTATATATTAATCTGTAACAACATTCTAGTCTAGAATTATTAAAAAGGTATACATAGATAATTTTGCAAATACTGCAAACGTAATATCGCGTAAAATGCTCAATCGATTCCCATGTTAATTTTATTTGACACGAATGACTTCAGATAAAGAAAGTATTGTACTCATAATATTACAGATAAAATGTATAGTAAAGGCCTTTTTACATTTTGCCAGTTTTTCAATAAATATAGGGTTATATGAAGCTACTAGAACGACTAGAAACTTTGTAATTATGTCAATAAATATTGTACATATATATGCGCTAAGAGTACCTCGCGTGCATAATTAAAAGAAACTATTAGAATGGTTGTATGACTTCTTCATTCCGAAGAATTATATTATTAATAATTATTATCATGTGTGTAATTTGAGTTTTAAATAAGTTAAACTCTTTCAAATTATATGTAACTATTCAACATCGGGTCAGAGCTTTAATTAGGAACGCGGTATTAAATAGTATTTTTCGCATTTATAATATAGGATTATATGCCCAGCCTTAAGCAAAGTATTGGTAGCCAATAAACCGTCTTTATAACTGGCACGTGCCTGGTACAGTATTTATAACGCACTTTTGTACGTCTGCGCCCGCGCATTCATAATCATAACTTATGCAAATTAGAAAGGAAATTTCCAATTTAAATAGTCAAATTATTGATATTGCGATCCTAAAGCTTTTGAATTATTTGTTTATATTATATATAAGTCGAATCAAAGGTCACGTATAATAATTTATGTTTATCCGGAAGATTATTTTTTCCATCTTCTGTCCCGAACTAATACAATGAGACTTAAGGAGGACATTACTGAAATAGGGACTATTCATGGAATAGATATATTTAGTTAAATTTATTTCGAGCTATGAGAAGAATAATACAATTGCTACAAAAAAATGCTAGGCGCCATATTTTTTTAAGAAGTCTTATTTATTGAATGTAACCGCAAGTTATGTAAACTAACATTAGTTTAGTTACATATATATATTTTAGTTAATAATTAAAAGTGTAAAAAATCATTGCACGCTTGGAGCCATTATGAGCCCTTTAGTTTTTACCCCACTCATAAATTATAATTTAACATTCTGGTTTCCGATAATGTCACTCTACTCATGTATAATGACACAAGTGTCACTTAGATTTACCAACTCTTTAATAAGTAATATCTAGTTTTTTGTTAATTCAGTGTCGCAAACCCACTACCCCTAATGTTATCTTAGTTATAAGCTCATGTTTTAAACCATTAAAGCCAAGTTTTTACCCAGCGTCAAACAAAGCGTTTCATTTCACATATAACTGAACATATCCATACAACAACCGCCACCGAAATGAATTCGGGTTCGAAAATATTTATTAAATGTTTTATAAGATTTTTTCCATTATGGTACCCAATACTTAACCACTATTGGAAGACACACGACAGACGCGATGCCCTACTTATTAATTTTTTTACCTACTATTTAATAATTATCACGCGATTGTACTTTTAACCATAAGGCCAAAAGTCCTTCAAATAGTCACTCGGTAAAGTAGATCTAGGTATATCTCTGATTTTGA